CTGGGACCTACCTATGGCGCAGAGGTAGCCAGTGATGACAGGGTGACCCTGATTAGGGTGGACCCTTATCTACAGCAGTGTCCTTGTCAGAAGAGGGGAATGTGGACAGAGACGGAGGGGAGAAGACAATGTGCAGATGGAGGCAGACACTGAAGCAGGCATCTGTAGGCCAAGGGATGACCCGGAGTGCCACCAGCCCCAAGGAGCCACCGGGAGTCATGCCAAAGGTCCCTTCCCAGAGCCTCCAGGCAGAGTGCAGCCCTGTGGCCACTTGGTCTGGACTTGGACCATCCAGGACTGTGGTAGTCACCTTGTTCACTGCTGTGACTAAAAGACCTGCCAAGAACATTTGAAGAGGAGGAAAAGTTTATTTGGGGGCTCAGGTTTCTAAGTCATGGACAGCTGGCTCCATTCTCTGGGGTTCAAAGTGAGGTGGAGCATCATGGAGGAAGAGTGTAGTGGAGGGAGGTGGCTCACATCACAGTCAGAAAGCAGAGGCTCCACTTGCCAGATGCTAAATATATACCCCAAAGCCACACTCCCTGAATGCCACCTCCTCCAGCCACATCCCACTTGCCCTCAGTTAGCATTCAGTTAACCCCGTCAGGGGATTAATTCACTGATTGGTCAAGGCTCTCACAACCCAATCATTTCTCCTCTAAACCTTCTTGAATGGCCTCACACGGGAGCTTTGGGGGACACTTCACATTCAAACAGTAACTAGGACTGTGAAAGAAAAAAAATTCTATTGTTTTAAACCATTAGTTTGTGGTTCTCTGTTATGGCATATTTAGTAAATCGAAAATATGCCTCAAGCAAGTTTGTTTAGGATTACATTTTCCTACCCTTAAAAAGAAATGTCCTTTTTCATATGATATCAATTAATAAAACACTTTGCTCCCTAACATTTGAAGAGCAGCAAAAGGAGCTAGAAAACAAACTGCAGAAGGACAACAGGCAACCTGGCCCTTTGGAAGCCTGAAGAGTGGATCCCAAACCTGGAGCTGCGAGGTCCGGTGAGCCCTCTGTCCATGGCCTCTGCAGCCGGGGGATCCCTGACAATCTATGGCTAACCCAGAGTGTGTTAGATCCTTAAGGAAGCTCTTAGACATTCAAATTTGTGTAGGATGGTTTGCATCGCCCGATAATAAGCAGCCAAGGAACTCCACAACTGGAAGCAAGCTTCCTAACAGCTTTAATGTAAAACAACTTTATATAGATGCATATTTGCATGTCTGTCCACTTAGCTATTTAAATCCATGCTCTATTTCAATGATCATGGAAAGGCTATTGTGATAGACTAGATGTTTGTGTTCCTCAAAATCCATATACCAAAACCCAACTCCCAATGTGATGGTATGAGGAGGGTGAGGTCCTCACAATGGGATCAGAGCCCCCATGAGGACAGAGAGAATGCTGGAGTCCTCTTTGTCTCTCTCCACCCCACCTGCATGATGTGAAGATAAAGTGAGAAAACGGCATTCTGAAATCCAGGAAGAGTGTCCTCAATAGATACTCAATCTGCCAGGGCTTTGATCTTGGATTTCCAGCCTCCAGAACTGTGGGAGATGCACTTCCATGGTCTAAGCCATTCGCCCTGTGGGGTTGTCCCAGTGGCCCGGGCTGAAGAGACAGCTCTATATTGGTGAGTCTAGACTAGTAGCTGGAAGGGGTGTGCCCTCTACTAAATGGCACTGTCCCTAATCCTGTCACACTCAGGCTGGTTCCCAAGGGTCTCCTCTCTCTGGCCAACTCCGCCTGCCTTGGCACCTTCTTGAGGGCTCCTCTCCATCCCCTGTTCCATAGTGCTCCTTTTCCAATAAGACCAACTCTAGAACTTGCTTACCCTTGCTATGTTTTCTTTTAAGTGAAAACAAAGGGGCTAATAAAAACAGCAAACCTAAGAAGTGCTACAAGTTTAAAAACCTTTCTCTAACAATCATGGGACCTGGCCTACCCAAAAGCCTGTCACCAAGTAATTGGTCAATAATGAAATATGATCATCACATTTATTATTCTCTCGATTGTTAAGATGAATGACAAGCTAGTAATTTCAGTTGAGAAGAGAGAAAAAAGTTCAAGCAACCACAACTTCTTTTGTTGAGGAAACATCTCAAATGACTCATTTCACTCCTGTTCTGCCTTTTCCCAAGCAAGAACAAAGCACCTGATTGGCACTTAAACATCCAATCAGGAATGTTCATTAAAGAGAATTGAGACCTTCCCTGGGATTCTCAGGAAACCCTTAAGAGAGGCATATAACTACCCCCTGGTGAGAAAGTGAGTTTGCAGGTGCAGAGGAAGCTGCTCAAGTGGAACTTGGCTTCAAAAGTGACAGAGTGAGGACAGGTTTAGGGGTTTTGATGGGAAACTAAGCTCCACAAGCCTTTACTTAAGACTTTAGAGAAGGAAAACCATTTATTTCCTTTTTTTTTTTTTTTTTTTTTGTTTTGTTTTGAGATTGAGGAGAAAGAAATACTTCCAGTAGCACAAGAGCTGACCAGGGATCTTTAGATGATCCATGGCCTAAAATCTCAAATCTTTCTGTCTCTGAATGAGCTTCCAAAATGACTTGAGACAAAAATGGAGAGACCAGGAGACGGCCAGCATTACCATCTCCTAGGGCCAGACCTGGGTTACAGAGGGTATGTTATGCCAGGTTCACAGAAGAGATTATATTGGCATTTGACAGATGAAGAAAGTAAGATAAGTTATCAAAGGCTGACGGCACCTGAGCACCATAGCTATGATCCAAAATCAGGTGTGCATGATTCCAAAGCTTGTGTTCTAGAACACAGACAGTCCTTCTGCCCTGGTATTAAGATATGTTCATGACAAGGTTTACAACTTAGAAAATTTTCAGCATGGACAGTATGCAGTTGTGTGTGTGTGTGTGTGTGTGTGTGTGTGTGTGTGTGAGAGAGAGAGAGAGAGAGAGAGAGAGAGAGAAGAGAGAGAAAATGTTTCAAGTGAAGTTAATCCACAGGCAGCACATATGCTAATCAGGAAGCCACATGAGGAAGGGGTCACCAGGTCACCAGTATTAGATCAGAAACATTGCAGCCATTCTGGAGCTGCCTACACCAAAGATTTCTGCCGTGTATTCTTTTGACTGATTTATTCAATGCCAAATTAGATTTTCTTTCATGATATTGATGGTGTGTAATTGGCATAAATGTTAGATAAATGCAGAAAAGGATATCTCAATGGTGAAATTATACATATTAATGATATATCATTTGCAAAACATCTCTTAGAGACACTCCACCTTACATGAAGATGGTTCCAAGGACCTAGTGAGACCTATGACCTGAGCCCTTAGAAATGGTTCTGGAGTTGGGATCTCTGAGAGATTTGGTGTCAGGTATTTGCTTTTGAGGCTTTCTGTTGACTGGCACTGGCTCTGAATCCCACTGCCCAGTGTCACTGCTGCAAGAGAACATTTTATTGAAGGTACAGCAAGTCAGAGAGCTTAGACTTCATTTGGCTTACAGGACAGTGTGTTAAGAGTGCTGTGAGTGTCTTCTAGTGAATGTGTACCTGATCAAAGTCTGTACGTGGACAAGGACAGCCTTTCATTTCCCCTTGCTGCTCCTGGTAACAAAGCTGTAGGAGAGTGGGTGATTCTCAAGCATCTCAAACTTTACAGTGATTAACATTCTCTTTCAAAAAGAATCTAAAGATATGTCTATAAATTTCAAATGTGTCTGTCAGTCTACTCTTCAGATCTTTTTGTCAGAATCACTTAGAATTTGGAATTCTTCAATTTCTCAGTATCTTTTAAAGCTCTAGTAGTAGTAAGGCCTGAGAATCTGAATTGTAATGAGTTCCCCTGTGATTCTATACACTCTGAGGATTCAGCCAACGAAGATATAACCACAAAAACATCAGGAACGTTTGCTGACAGCCTGTCCCGGAGGCAGACCAAAGACCCAAGAGCAAGCCAATGTTCTTCTGACTTCTGGATTTAAAAATCAAACTCCGTAAAGCAATAAGAAATAGGAGACCATAAAACCCTTACATCCTGTGAATTTTTGGCCACAGACATGTGGCTACAGCTATTTGCCTACCCGTCTAGATCAAGATAGATGAAAACCACCACAGGCATTCAGCGAACCCATCCGTGGCCAATGGCAAGAGACAAGTAGAGATTGCTAGCAGCTTCTCAACTGACAATCCTCTACAACTGCAAGGAGAACTCTTGGCCAAAAGCCCATGGTGTCAAATAACTTTTTGGAGAAAACCAGTTTGGCACTTTAGTTGCTTTTTTCTCATATCCATCAGACCTAGTAGATCAGAAACATTAGTTTGTTTACTCATAAGATATCAAAGTTTACAAAATCATGCAGTTTTTGATTCCAACAAACATTGTGCAGGACTAGTTCAGGACTCTGGTTTCTAAGATAGCACCCATAAGAAAGAAGTGTTGGCCCTGGACAGGCATCAGAGAGAGGTCTGAGCTGGGTGCAAACTCAGTGGAAAGTTAGTAAAGCTCCTAGGGCTTCTGATTCTACTTTTAGACAATTTTGGGGAAAAAAAAGGCTTGTCCTGCATATTTTATACTACTTGCTAATTCATTCATAAATATTTATTACTCCTATCTTATATTCCAGGAATTTTTCTAGGACCCTGGGGGACATAGCAGGAAACAAGACAGACAAGGTAATTGCTCTTATGTATGCTTACTCTAATAACTAGAAAAAAAGAGATGCACATAGTTATATTTAAATATATACTTACATAAGCAAATAAGTAGATATATGAATATTAATAAGAATATTTTCAGAGGCAAATATATGTACACATGTATATTTTAAAACTAAAACCAAAGTCTTTTCTGAGGATGTGATATGTTTTCTTAGATTTCACATTGCACGAGTTTGGATGAGAAAAACAATATCTAATGGAAAGATGTATTATCCCGAGATCTGCTGAGTTCATCTTGAAACTTCCCTTATTTAGCATGGTATTGGTTAACCAGTAAAGGATGGCATTCTTACCTCCAAAGAAGTATTTCTCTCCAGTTTTAACTTGAAGAGGACTATTTGTCCGAACAGCTGATGCTTCATCCCCATCAATGGTGAGAATAGCAAAGTTTTCCTTGGCTAGAAAACGAACCTCATGCCACTGACCATCATTCAACCCAGAACCTGAAAGGTACAAGATAAAAGTCAGCTTTTTATGTTAAGATGGTTCTGTTAAACACAGCTTTAAAAAATCATATTACTTTAAATTGACAAATGATAATTTTATTAGATTTATGGTTCACACTGTGATGTTTTGATACATATAGAAATTGAATTAATTAAGCCAATTTAATTAACATTTCAGTAACCTCTCTTACTTGACATACTTTGAAATTTATTCAGTTATTTTGAAATATACATTACTATTGAGTGAGTTTCCCTAGAAGTTACTGGTCAAAGTAATAGTTCCAGCTACATGGGAGAAATAAACAAAAATTTTAATATCAACAGAATTAATATTTTAGAAGTAAAACCATACATTCATCTAGAAAAATACAGTGCTGCTTCTAAATTTCATTATCTCATGTTTCTTTAAGATTATATCTGGTTCTTTCGTCCATTGGACTGAATAAAGCACAATCTAAGTCAATCAGGTGAAGAAATATGATTAAAATTATATCAGGATGGTTGTGGGTAAAGAATGCTCTGAATAAAGTCATTTGGAAAGTGACGATGAATTGTTTCAATTTCATAACATTTTCTGATTAGTTTTGCATGATCATACTCTCAGATTTATGGTTTTATCTAATTTTTCACTTTTAAAATATTGTCTACATTGGTTATTTTCTCTCAATAAACACCTGGCAAGGGTAGTTTATAGATATTAGGTACCAAATAAAAATGTGTGACTATGTGCAATTATATGTCCTAATTAACCACTAGTGATGACAGGAAGTAACAAAAGGATTTTGAGTCATTTATAAGAGGGCATTGTTAAAATGAGGTCAGTCATATTTCAGCAAATAAAAACCATCAAAATAAACCAACAATGTTCACCCTAACACTTACATTTCCTAATACAAAGATATTTAGTTGTAGACATTCTATTGATCACTCCAGTAGGTGACAATAGTTCAATGTCTGTTTGGTTTGTGTTCACTTTACAAAGAATAATTAAAAATATAAGGTACAAATAGGAGAGCAATCATAGAACCTAAGAACCTAGAGAGTATTTAGGAGACAGAGAAACTGAAGAGAGTGAGAGAGGTTTTATGTGACCTTGGAAAAAGAAAGCAATTCAGTTCTAGTCTACTTCAGATGGTATAATCTAAAGTACACAGGTTAAAGTTCCTGGAGCGTACACTTCATTTTCACAAAAGAAAGACTAGCAAGCAAAGATATTTAAAAATAGTGTAAATCCATGGAGCACAGAAGAAGGATTTAGGTGCCAGATAATTTATAACAGGAGCCTATAAACCACATCTGTGGGCCATAACTTTATTTTGGCCACCCATTTTTGTTTAATCTGTGGGATAAGAATGGTTTGTATATTATTAAAAAGTTGAAAAGAAATCAAAATAGTAATAATATTTAGTGACAAGCAAAAATTTCATAAACTCAATTTTAGCATCCATATACAGTTTCATTGAAAAACAGTCAAGTCCACTTGTAGAGCAGACAATTGCCGTACATTAACTGAGTCAAATAGTTGTACCAGGAATTATATGACCACAAAGTCTAGATGATTTACTATGTGGTTCATCCAGAAGAATAGCATTAGCTAACAGTTGTTTCATGCTATTACACAAGAGAACTATTTAAAAAGCCAAGGCCTACTGAATCTTAGAAGGTAGTCATGTATCTGTAATATTTACTCACATTATAGTAAATATCATTGTGGTATGCTTTGGAAGTGGGATGTCCCCCAAAAGTTCACGTGTGAGACAATGCAAGAAGGTTCAGAGGAGAAGATTGGGTTGTGAGGATCTTTACCTAATCAGTGAATTAATCCCTGAGGGGATTAACTGAGTGGTAACTGGAGGTAGGTGGGGTATAGATGGAGGAAGTGGCTCACTCAGGGTTTGGCTAGGGGGTGTATATTTTGTATCTGGGGAGTGGAGTCTCTGCTTCCTGATAACCATTGTGTGAGGTGCTTGCTTCCCTCCACCACACCTTTCCACCACGATGTTCTGCCTCTCATCAAGCCCCTAGGAATGGAGCTGGCCTTCTATATGTTAAGACCTCTGAATCTCTGAGCCCTCAAATAAATAAACTTTTACTCCTCTACAATTGTGCTTGTCAAATCTTTTAACTGCAGTAGTGAAAAAGCTGACTAAAACACATTGTAAATAATTAAGGCCAGAAATTTCTTAGGATTTTCAAACTTTTCATTTATTAGTACTGATCATATTTTATTTTGGTGGTGGATGATACAAAATGTCTGCTTTAATCAATACAAAATAATTTCCAAATTATAAATTGTACACACACCCACACACACGAAAAATTATTCATAGAATAAAACATGTGTGCAGGGAGTAGCACCCGAGTGTCTGTGCCCACTGCCCACACCATTTCCTTGCTGGCTGGCACACTGACTACACAGTTTTGCCCAAACCTTGAGAATACGTAAGCAGCCCTCACTCCAAAACAGAAATGGGGACAGGACATGAAGTGTGGTGTGGGGAGGTGGTATCAGCCAACTCATGACCTGAGGTGTAACTGCAGGGTAGCACAGCCTCAATCCTGAGAGAGATTCTGCTTCTGATGTATACTCACAACTCAGCCAACTGATGGTGAACCTCACTTTATGAACTAGTCCCACAGAAGCTCCAACAATACTTTAACACATGGAATAGGAGAGACAAGGCCTCAAACCAACAACCAGACCCCAAAGAGGAACAACCAGAGGGGGATCTAAGGTCCTACTCCTGTAAATCTACTTATACCTCAAAAGCAAAGCATAGTCCTAAGGGTGGGGGTGTATACCAAAGGAAACAAAGATAAAACAGTAAGAGGAATCCATTAAAATAGGCGTGTAAGTCTAAATCCTCTGACAACATGAGAAAACAGGAAAACAAGTCTTCTTCCCCAAATTACAATCCCCCAACACAGGAACCCACAGACATGGAAGCAAATAAAATTTCAGAGAATGATTACAAAAAAATTGATTATTAAAATATTCAAAGCACTACAAGAAGATCTAAGAAATAAAATCAGAGAGCAAATATAGGAGGTGAAAGACTATTTCAATAAAGAAGTAGAGATATTGAAAAGAAACCAATAAGAACTCTGCAAATGAATGATAGAATGCTCACATTTAAAAATTTACCTGAGATTATCACCAAAAATTAGATTATGTAGAGAACAGAATTTCAGATGCTGAAGACAGGGTATGAGAGCTTGAATACTCAGTATTTGATTTTTTTAAAAAAGAAAACATGTTCAGTACACAAAAACTCTGGGGCAATACCAAGAGTCTAAATTTGACAGTCATTGGGATAGAAGAGAGCATGGAAATAACAGACTAATACCATTAAGAATGTTTTCAGTGAAATAATAGCAGAAAAAATTTAGTGACCTTAGAAATAAGATAGACAACCACATATAGGCTGCAAATAGAACCCCAAATAGACAAGATAAAAAAAAAAAAAACTTTCTAAGACACATCATAATAAAAATGCTTTATCAAGAAAATGTGGAAATAAGGTATAAGAAAAAAAAGCTATAAGAGAAAGCATCAGGTTCACTTCTTACTTCTCAACCCAGACACTAAAATCAAGAAGGGCTCAGAATGAAATATTCCAGGCTTTGAAAATAATTGCCAGCCAATGTTTACCGTATCTAGCAAAGCTATCTTTCAGAATTTGAAAAGAATGAAAATGTTTCCAAAAGGATAAACTATAAGGATTCATGACCACTAAGCCAGTACTACAAAAAGTATTTGAAGATATACTACACACAGAAAAAACTCAAAAACAAACCTCAAAGCTCCCAAATCAGGAAGCTCTCTAAAAAAAATAATTAACTAAGTAAAAATTAAGATTGAATTAAATATAACAAAGAAACCAAAATGGCCAGAAAAACAAGCTTCTATCCAAAATGATACTGAATGTAAATGGTCTCAATTTCCGAATTAAAAGACATATACTGGCAGAATAAATTAAAAAAAATAAGATCCAATTATATACTGTTGACAAGGGACTCACAGGCAAATACATACACAGAATGAAAGCAAAATTATGGGGGAAAAAATTCCACATAAATGGAGTCTGAAAATAAGCAGGAGTAGCTATTCCTATATTTGATCAAGTAGATTTGAAGTGAAAAATTAATGATAAGAGATAGAATGGTCATTACATACTGGTAGAGAAAAAAATCCAACATGAAGATATAAATATAGAAAATATTTATGCCTCAAATGTTAGTACACTTAATTACATTAAATAAATAAATAAATTTTTTTGACATTAAATCTCAGATAGAACCTAATAAAATAATACTGGGTAATTTCAACACACCCCTTTCACCAATGCAGAGTTCATTCAATAAAGATACTTCCAACCTAAATAATACTATAAATCACATGGACCTACAGACTTCTACAGAATATTTCACCCCAAACCAGCTGACTATACTTTTTTCTCAGCAGCTCAAGAAATCTTTTCAAAAATACACCATATTCTAGGTCACAATGTAAGTCTCAGCAAATACAAAATAAATGAAATTATTTCATGCATCTCATCAGATCATAATGGAATGAAATTAGAAATCAATATCAAGAAAATAATAGAAATGGCACAAATACACAGAGACTGGAACAAAAATCTTAAATGGGAAATGGGTCATAGAAATAATGAGAGAAGAAATAAAAAAAAATTTTAGAAAAAAGTAATAATAATGATGCAACATATCAAAATCTCTGGGATAGTATGAAGACATTATCAGATGAAAGTTTATAGCACTGAATAACAACACTGAAAACAAACCCAGAAAGATCACAAATAATTAATCTAATGCCACACCTTAAGACACAAAGAAGAAGAACAAACAATTTCCACAATTAGTAGAAGACAGGAAATAATATTAGAACTGAAATTAATAAAATTGAGAATGAGAAAACAATACAAAGGATAAATGTAACTGAGTTGGCTCTTTGAAAAGATAGATAAGACTGATAATTC